TATATATATATATATATATATATATATATATATATATATATATATATTTATAATTTTAACAATATGTTTTTAAAAAGGGAAAATAGCCTTGGAAATAGAATTAATCCTTAAAAGAGGAAAAAAACCTTTTAGGCTAATCTGTTTTAAAGAAAAGGTAAATAAAATAAATAATAAAAATACCTTCATAAATGGATGAAGTTTTAATTCTATACTATGATCAACTAAAACAAAGATTGGTTCAATAGAGAAAGAACAGAAAAAGTATTGTAGTACAACAGGCGATAATATTTCCCTTATATTTAAAACCCATTAGCTTGACTGGTTTTTGATTCCTGAAATAGTAAAAGTATTTCATTTTATTGACGAAGTTAAAAAGTAAATTTCAAAACAAATTGGTTTTGAACAAAGCGTACGTAAATGTATAAAAAGGTAGCAAAGCCCCAAACAAAAGACACTGAAACACACACATTAATAAATCCAAAAAAGGCTGCAAGAATCTTGTAATTCACATCAGTATGGTTAAGTAGGTTAGAGGATAAGCAAAGCACTCCCCCTCAAAAAAAGGCAAAGATGGCATTAATTTAGGGTTCCCCCAGGCACTGAAGTAGAAGCCTGTAATTCCGGTGAAGCAAGAGCTGGAGGCCAGACAGTGCATATAACAGTTTGTGCTACCTACTGGGATTCTGTCTCAGAAAATCTAGGAATCCCAGATGAGCACAGTTAGCAAACCAAAGCTTTTAGCGTACAGCGAGAGTGTGGTCTAGAGATAAGAGTGTTTGTTCTTTACAATCTGCTGGAAAAGTTAGAAAATGCCTGCTTAGCTTGAGGACGATTTCCAGAAAGGCCCCCGGGGCGTTCCTAGCATCCTGAAGTGCCTTGGGTTTCCCAGGTCACCCTGGACCTTAGTTCCATAAACTGGGGTAGTGACAGCCCAGAGACCAGCCACCCTAGCAATCCTAGAACCCAGATTCCATGCCCAGGTGCCACACGGAAGAGGCAGATGCTCAGTCAGGACATTCCAAGAGGAACAAAGGCTGTGTTGTCTCCGCATATCCCCTTGTCCTCCCGAACCACTAACGGCTCTTTCAAAGCAGCAGGATTCGGAAGCAGCCATCATTTAGATGTATTCCTTGTGTTAAGAAGTCGTTTTTCCAGAAACTTCCTGATCAAGCATCTACTAATTTTTTTAAATTTTTTATTTTATTTTATTTGCTATTACTCTATGGGTATGGTGTGTATGTGTCTGGGGCATACACAGTAAAGCATACGTGTGGAGGTCAGACGACAACTTTGTGGCATCGGTTCTCTCCTGTCTTTCTATGAGTTCCCAGAAACACGCTCAGTTCATCACGCTTGTGTGGCAAGGACTCTTACCTGCTGAGCCATCTTGCCAGAGGAGTAAGAGGGGTAATTTACAATCATACTCTTTTTTAGTAGTTAAATATCTATTAATGGGAACAAGAATCTTGTCTAAAACAGCTGCTGGCCAGATAGAGACACAGTGTAAGCCCTGTGGGAAGGAGTGGTGGGTAGCACAGGTGACCGAGGGTACCAGAAAGGATGGGCCTGAGAGGTACAACAGGGTGACCCTCAAACTCAGAGGATGACGGAGGCCACAGGTGGTAACTGGTCCCTCCCCCATCGTGCTGGTCAGTGTGGGGCAGGAAGTGGTTCATTGAAACCCAAGCAAGACCAGGAGGGCAGTTCACGGGTGCCTGGAGTCCCTCGTAAGTCTGAGTTCTGACAAAGAGCAGATGCTATGTTCAAATCAGGATAATCGGCGGGAACTTTAATAAAGAGGCTATTCATAAGGAAGTGGGCTGGTAGTGCAGTTCTGGGCTCTGTGGCTGGCCAGCCTTGACGGCTCCTACAACAGCATGAGCACCAGTGCCAGGCTGAATGGGGAGCCTGCTGGCCTCCCTGACTCTCTCCTCTATCTCCTGTTTCCAGCGGATGCCTTATTAGCCAGATGAAACTGAAGGTCCGAGGGAGGGAGACTTCTGGGTCATTTCTTGTGATTCAGAGAGAAAGGTACAGAACAGATTTGGAGGATCCTGGAGACCCAGTGAGCAAACCGGAGCAAAATCTGCCATTTCCTCCTTGGACTGCTGGTGGGTTTCTCTCACAGATTTGTGTGTCAAAGATGAAAAAGACACACCCTGTCTCAAGGGAAATAGTTAAGTGTTTTTTGAAAACATTTTGTTTCAAATCACAAAGCCATCTCCTAATCTGAGGACCTCCTTGTCCCCAGGGTTGTCGAGAGGTCTTTCTACACACAGAGAATGGATGGCTTCTGGCTGGGGAAGGGACGGGAGCCCCAGGTGGGACCTGACAGCTCAGCTGCACTAGCACCTGGTTTAATTTCCCTTTCTAATTGGCCACTTGATGTCTTTTCCTTTTCCAAAATGAAAGGACAGGAGGCTAGTGGAGGCTTCCGGGTCTCAGTGTTTGCATTCATTTGTGAAAATCACAACTCCCACCATCATGGCAGCTCACAGGTGCTCTAAATTATCCTCATCTTTCTTTATGAAAGCTGTGCACTAGACAGCCCTTTATTCTTGGAATTTGCCTAATGGAAATCCCTCGTTCACTATGCCGGAGGGAGGGCCTTCCGTCCTCATGCGTAACCGTTTCTGACTTCCTCCACTAGGTCCACCACTCCACCTTAGGATTCTTGGAAAAGGATAAGGCAAGCAAATACAAGAACAAGTGCACGAGCATGTGGGGGAAGTAGGTTCCCTAGGGGCTCACGCCTGCTGAGTCAAGGGCGCCCTGGCATGCAGGTACCGCGTCCTTCCGTACACTGTCTCTGCAGTCCACATCCACGCGCCCGCTGTTGAGCAGCAGTTTCAGCAGGGCCAGGTTTCCCCTCCTCGAGGCCCAGAACGCAGCGTTGGCAAGCGGAGTTTCCTTCTGCAAGAGTGGAAACAAAGGGGCTCTTAAAATAGAAGTCAGTGACTGGCCTCGGCTGCTTCTTCGCACACAGGTAACAGCACCCTTCCCAAGGAAGCACTTCCAGATGAGGGATGAGCGTTTGCAAGATTGGCCCCTTCCATATGTGAGGCTGTAGTGCTCCAGGCTGTCAGAAGTGGTTTGTTTACTGGTAGACTTCTGAGCCCAAGGTCATCTGCACAGCCATGTCTCATTTCCCACAAAGCCTCGCTTTCCTGCCTCTGTTGTATTTGTTCACGGTTTCCTTTTAATTTGATATGAATTTTCCCCATCCTAGAAGGACAAGGTTCTTCCCAGATGCCATTTCCTCTCTGAAACACGCTGAGGAAGTCCTTTCTTATAAGTGGAGCCAAATTTCCTCCTGTTTTGACTCTCAAAAGGGGGTTAGTGGTACCTTTTCTGTGTCTTCAACATTTCCTAGCCAATTCCAGCTACTGGGTAGGAAACTCACTTTCCCTCCACCTAATATTTTTTTCCTTTAACTGGAACTTGCCAGAAGTTCCAGGTGAGAACTAGGGACTTTGGGCAGAGAGCGAGCACTCTTTTGTGTCTGAGTGGCTGCTATCAAAAGTACCTTGGTTCACGGTGTTAGGCCCAAGGGGGGGGACCCTAGGGGACCCTAACTTCTCGAGGGGGATGAAGAGAACTCAGGAGACCAATCATCGATGCAAAATTGCAAGAGGTTTATTTTAACCATGCGCAATGGGATCACCCCTGCTGGTCAGCAAGGAGTGGCACTGGGAGACAAAGGCTTTGGGTTTTTAAAAGACAAAGTGCGGGAATTTTCAGGGGTGGCAGTCTTGGCAATTCAGGATTGGATGAGGTATTTAACTTTTAAAATAATTGGTTGGTTCTGGGCACCCTTAGGTCTGGTCAGCCCTGTTGTAAATATCTGGGGAATATCTGATCTTCAAGTCAGTTTGGAATTTCCTGCCATATGAGATATAGCCGCAGTTAAAGGTGGGAGAGTGATTAACTCATCCCGTGTCTGTTCTGAGGAGTGGAGGCTACAGGCTTTGGGTCAAAGGTCAGGAGCTATTCAGGAGAAGGATTGGGGCCATTTGGCCCAGTTTCTAAACAGAGTTTTCTCACAAGCGCTGGCTGGTGATTTTCTCTCCACTTAGTAGAGATCTCTGCTTGTTCTCTTCCTTATCTCTGCCCTCACAGATGGCTAATGTCAGGAACTTTTACATTCCTCGGCTCTCTGGGGAAGCACTAAGAGGCTTTAATTAACATGGGCCTAAAACTTGAAAATATAAGTTTGTAAGGCAATTAAAAGAAACATAGGTTACAAAGTTAGTCTGATTCTTTTAATGGGAGTCATTGTCTCCTTTTGCTTTAGATAGAGATCAAACACCTGTCTTGAAGTTTACAAAAAGGAAAAAGTGAGAGAGAACTGAGGTAGACTGCCTAAAAACCCAGATACTATTGTTTGTTTTCTGAACTGAAACAGTCCCTCTTGGAAAGAGATTCATAAGGCTCAAGGAATAAAAGCTCAAAAGGCTCAGGAAGCTCCTAAAACTTACAAAGATTCACATGGCTTCTTCCCAAGGTTTTAGGCTGTAATGATTGCTAAGGAGAGGAAGCCAGCTGTGCCCCTGCCAGTCGGGCCGGAAGCTCCCAGGAGGCAGCTTTGCAAGGCTGTCCGCCATGGTGGCGTGGGCTTTTCAAGGATGAAGCTGCTTTTCAGTCACTCATGCTTTGTAAGTGACCCCCATAACTCACTGGTTCACTAAGCCAGATTCGGGTAGAACTGTTTCTTTGGGCTTTCCTCAGTGTCCAATGTGGGGTGAACATGCAGGACAGGCATGCAACACCAACACACGGCAAATGCTAATAATGCTCATTTCCTTTATGAAGTTACAATAGTAACAAAGCACTAGATTCTGAGTATTAGTACCACATAGGATGTTGCTGCTCTCAGGACATTTTATGGTATATGTATTACCTAATAAAATGATTTGGGGAATGTGGAAAAACATCTCTCTGTCTGCAAAAGCCTATTTTAAAATGTCTTTTAAGGACAGTGACATGCCAAATAACATATAGGTCAATGACAAACTGCACACACCGTGACGGTCTCCTAGGAGTGTGCTGATTAGGGCACGAGCTATCCTAGTTTGTATGCGCACATTTGGAACCGCCTAACGCCATTTCTCAGAACACCCATTGTTAGGTGAAGGGTGACAATCATGTCGTGGTCCCTCCTGACCGTGGCTTGATTTTCTGTGGTTACAGTTACCCGCAGTCAGCTGTGGTATGAAAATATTCAGCGGGAAGTTTCAGAAGTGAGCAATTCGTTCATCAGGGTTGAAGTGAGCACTGTTTTGAGCAACGTGACGAATTCCTGCACTCCCCATTCCTCTGTACAGTGTGTTCACGCTGTTAGTGACAGCCACCCTCTGGTCACTTAGCCACCTCAGCGACGAGACTGACTGTGCTTGTGTCCAGGCAACTTACTTGGCCACAAAGCCAGAGCAAAGCAGTGACATGGCAATTTATTGCAGTGGTCCATTACAATTGCCCTACCTTATTAATTTTTGTCATTAATCGTTACTTTGTCTAGTTTAGAGACTATCATAAATGTGTATGTGTAGAAAAACAGAATATAAGCGGCTGGTAAATTTCCTGCAGTTACTTCTTGAGGGGGGTGGGTCCTGAGCAAAGGCATAAGCTCCAAATTGCATTAAATACAGTGCTTCCCTAAGTTAAAACGGCAGTGACATCACCCCCAGCAGCTCAGCAAAGCCATGCACGGTGAGGGCGCCTGCTGGCGGATGATGACAGCATTTGTTGGTGCAAGGATTTCACTGCAGAAGTCTTCCGGTGAGGGAGCACTTCAAGTTCCAGGTTAACCCTTTTCCTTCCCTGAAGGCATAAATCTGACTCTCTTGAGTTTTCAAGCTAACCTCTGCCAAGTGCTCACACCAGAGCCTCCTTCATCTGCCTAACATGTTAGAGTTACTAATTCCCAGGGGTTTGGTGTGAATAACAGGTCATGCCACATGATGGAGGGTGAACTGAGCACATGCTTTATATCACCGTGGGATATCTCTGCAGGTTTTTCCTAAAATAAGAACACACACACACACACACACACACACACACACAGAGAGAGAGAGAGAGAGAGAGAATGAATAATATTTTATTCAGTGACTTGGCTGCTTCAAATACATGAGCCTCAAACACCTGGAAAAACCATCTGCAAACAGCAAATGTGTACTGTCAGAATGGGCTTTGGAGTCAGGGCTTGTCTCTTTAGGATGGTTTTGGAGGTTCCTCTTTGGTTTAGAACACTTTTCCAAGATGCTAGACAGTGAGTTTAGTAAAAAAGCTGCAAATATTTCTTTTCCCTCCAGGACTTGCTTTTCCGAGAGGCAGAGGACAGCTGGATAGAACAGTTGATCGGGGATAAGAAAGAGCCAAGTTCAAGTCTGAAATCATTTTCCAGCTCTATCTCTTAAGTGAGTTACTTACATTCTCCTGACCCCAGTAAAATGGGGCTGGAAATCATGATACCAGATCTCTGTCCTGTGCTGGAGAAGCAAGTGAGACAACACAAGAGAGAAGCTCAAGAGGTTCTAGCTACAAATGCATGGCCAGAGTCAATATATTTGCTCAAGTACTATCTACATGGTCACTAGCATGGGCCAGGGGCAGGGGAGTGGCTAGGACTAGAGATACAGCGTACCTTTGACCCCTGCTTACACAGGCTTTATAGCCTCGCAGGAAAACACTGACAGACAGGCCTGCAGCTTTGTAAGCGTCAAAGGAGGAGTGCAGCTGCTGATGGTGAGAAGGGGACCAGATAACGGCCACTGCTGCCGACGTTCGCCCCAGCATCACTCCCCAAAGGGCGGGGTGAAGGACGTGAGGGAGAACAAAAGGAAGGAGATTACGGGGGTCAGAGGCCAGAGAGCTCGGGCAGAGCAGATGTACGAAAGGAACGTGGACTTTATTCTGGGAGTCGAGGGGGTGTTGGAAGGTGGGCGATATCAGCTTTACATTCCGGAAAAGTTCCGGCGACTGTGCCGTGGAGGAGAGTGAGATGAAGAGCCAGAGTGATGCTGGTAGATGGAAGGTGGGTGACGGAAGTGCGCTGCCGTGGGGATGGGAGCGGGAGAGACTGCACACATCTGAGGGGCGGAGCGGGGTGCTCTTGGTCTATGATGTTACGCGCAGGAGAGGAGGGCTATGCAAAGGGTATTGACGCCCAGGCTTCTGGTTCAAGTGTCGTGGGACTGTAGCTGTCACTTAGGCAACAGAGAAGGGATGGGTTTTAGCTCACCTTTGAACACCCTAAGTTCCAACTGCCTGTGGGGGCATCCCACCCAGAAGAAATGGGTATGTGCTCCTCTGGCACTGTGGCCACGGCCTGAGTGGAGGCCAGACATCTTGAACTAACGCTCATGAAATACACACTCTGTGCCATCTGGTATGCCGTCTGCACAAATGTCATTTAATCCTCAGCACAGATCAGTGAGAAGTGGCACACGCCTTTTCAGACTAGGTAAGAGAGACGGCAGGTCAGGGACCAGCGCCAGGCGGGTTGCTGCTCCAGGCTGCCCGCTTTGTGAACCACCACACTGTTCTGCTGCCCATAGCGCTTCAGTAGACGCCAAGAAGTGAGGCTGCAATCATCTCCAACGGCCCTTCCACCCTCCCTTCATCTCCTCCTTTGCCAAGACAGAAAGTTCCCCCAACTTTCCTTCCACCAGGGAGTCTACGGAAATCACAACCTCTGGATAACTTCCAAATCCCCTCTGCGGATGGACAAGATGCTCAGAACCGTAAAAGGTGTGGGGAGGGCAGGCAAGTCCTGAAGCCTTTAAAGGAGACAATGTCTCTCTCCTCCCTCCTTCCCTTCCTCTCTCCTCCCTCCTTCCCTTCTTCCTCCTGGGCTTCCCAGCCATCCAACTACACATGCATTATAAATCTCTATTAAAAAAAAAAAGGGAAAT